AACCTCTGCAAATTTTCACATGATTACGATATCATATAGGCATGGCTCCGATACAAAAATTCCCATCTTTAGTAGTTTTTATAAGAAAAGTGCTTCGAAAATTATTTTTATCTAAAACTAATGTCAGATTTAGTTTTCTTTCATGTCGTGGATCACAGTGCGGAAAAGTTCATCTTACGGATGTAAGACATTTTATTTTTTAAGGAAACTGTATCAAAAAGTGATTGTATCTCAAAATTAACCTCGGATTCGGTTTTCTCGTGCCAGAAAACCCCCCAATACATATTTTTGAGTGTTTAAGTCTACATTAAGTATGACTTTTGGACGAAAATTGGACTCTTTTTCATAGGTATCACTCCAGGCATGACAATTTTTTCCATCGACCAAAATCGCTCAAAATCTAATGATTTCTATTCCTCGGGACCCCCAATCATCCTGTACAGTCAGATTTTAAATAACTTTTCTGGGGGGTGAGATAATCGATGGACAAATTTTGCGTACGGCGGACAACGTACGACGTACGACGTGGAACAGACCCACACCAACCATGCTCAAAACGGCCTGATTCGGGTTCTCTGACCTCAGAAACGTCCAGAAAACATGTTTTTGAGGTTTCGTAAATTTTGACCCATTGCAATACTTTCCCCCTTCACACTAGGTGTGTGCGGAAAAGTAAAAATCGAAAACACATTTTTTTGAAATAGATCTGTTGGTATTAAATTTCACTGTAACTCATTATAAAATAAATTATTGGCTTTATTTCAAAATAAAGAGTTTTTATTCGGTATTTATTATTGAGTGAAAGAGTAAATAATCAGTAAATATGAAAAAGAAATGTAATATTCAAAATGTTCAATGCATTTTTTTCACTTTCTGTTCGAAGCGATCCCCAAATAGCACCGAGTCTCAAATATATAGAATTTTGGGGTTCAAATGAAGTAAAAATTGCTTTTCAAGTAGTGACTTTACCAATATTTTATAATATCAAGTCATCAACACTAGTAATTGTTTGTCTGCACATGGGACATTTATCACGAGCTGATAGTGTATATTTCCACATAACCCAACAGTTATAGCACATTTCGTGATTACATGATAAACGGATATTTTTCTTATTACTGTAGCATATTTTGCATTCGTCGTCGTCTGAATCTCTCGATTCATTTTCCCTTCTTTCAGCTTGATTGGCCAGGAGTTTGGCATCAGCTAAATAGCCCAATTTCGTCCAGAAATTAGATCTACGATTTTCCAACCACAAACCAAATTTCTTTCCACGATGAGCCAATTGCAGAGTACTGTATACACCCATTGGACATTCAATCGTCCCTGTCCTGAATTGAACTGTTGAAATGGTACCAGTTCCATTTTCATTTGATGCGGCCGTTAAATATAGTCTCTTTGTAGACGTTGCAACATGGATGAAAAATGCGATTCCATGTTCATTATTTAAAGCTCGCAAATCTGTGTCTGGCACATATTTGACGTAGATATCGACATGTCCAAGTTGATCCCATATTCCTACCTCTTGTGAGGAGTGAATTACTTGAACATAATCAGCATCAACCGTCCTAAGGGTTTCCTTTATTTTATTTTCTTTTAAGAGAGGAATCTTTATTGGATCCAAAGCTATTGTTTAGTTGACACAAAACACATTTGTTAAGATGAGAACGGCATCTAAATGTTTGGACAAAATACATACCCAATAGTATCCGAGGACGTTGGCGTATTTTTCGCTGAAGGTATTGACAAGTTCTGCCAGCGATATGTGCTCCAAAACCGAAACCACTCACATCAAGTTGTGATAAGTGTTTGAGACATTGCCTTCTATTCGAATTAATACATTTTTCTCGCACGCCAAGCACTAACTCCCCTACCAATTTTGCTACGTGTTCATATCGTTGGGTAGTCAGCATTTTATCCAAAATCTCATTCTTGGTAAAACCAATTGATGGAGTCGCTGTGTAAGCATAGGTTACGATACAAATATTGTTTCCAGACGCCTCCAACCATTCTAAAGTGAAAAGAAATTGACGTTTTTTAGCTCAAGAAAATCAATATTCATTGAAAATTGTGAGTGTGTAAACATTATGATTGAAAAATATCAGAAAAGAGAGAGAGAAAGGGAGAGAGAGAACTTACCACCAGCAAATGAAGAAAACAAATCTACGAAAGAGTAACAATTGACATTTTAACTGACCTTTTCTGGTAGTACTGAAAAATTAAAGGAATATTTACCGCTTGAATTATCTACAATATTCGTAAATTCGTGGAAAAATAACGATAGACTTTTTCCATTATCTAGATGATCAACCAAAGCTGACGGAATCGTTTTATTTACGTCTATCGTATAAAATTCAGAATTCCTAAAAAATAATACATTTTGAAAAGAAATGGTTCCGAACGAGATTAATTAAATAAGACTTGGTATACTTACGAATTTGCTACACAAGAAAATCGAATTGGATCTCCTTGATATTTGAATGCATCAGTATTCAAATAATTACTTCCATAAGAACTAGATGAACTGCCGTTTCCAACAGCATTGCACTCGGTCAGCAATGCTATACAAATGATCGTTTTTAAGAAAATAATCATTTTTTCATTTATTTTTTGTTACTTTTATCCACGTACTTTCAACAAAATTCAAAACAGCCAACTCAAATGATCGAACTTCAATTGAATGTATATGAGAGGTGTATTGTTAATAAGAGTGAGTTTTTTTTACATTTACTTAACACAAAAGTAGACATAAATTATTCATAAAATAATATCATATTGAATATTTGCTCCAAATTCCATTATAAAAGTTGAAAGAAAATTGGATGGATCAGAATAAAGATCCGACTTATCCGAGTCTATAAAAGTGGAACACAGAGTTTTTTTTTAAATAGAATTGTTGTTGTATTACTTTTATAGACTCTGCGCACAAGTCGAATTTCTATTCTGACCCATTTAGTTGCAAACAAATTTTATTTACCCAAATGAAACTGGCGAATATTGGCAATAAATGTGTAATTAATCTACAATCGTCATTCGGATCATTTGAATATTTTGAATTCGGATAGATGTTTCTGCCTCGTTGTGTTTTTACTTTTCGGCACACTCACTGTGTGCAGTAAAGTATTGCAATCACCCCAAAATTTTGAAATCGCTAAAAATCATTTTTCTATGCGTTTTGGGTATAGAGAAGCACAGAGCAACTGTTTTTTTGGCCATGTTAATGTGGGGATGTGGTACACTGTACAGTTGGGTGCCTCGTTTTTTTAAATTTATTATGTACACCCCCATAACCTATGTGGGAGGATCCCAGGAGAACACCTGTAATGTTTTTTTTCTCAAAAAAATGCATGTAGAAATCGCGCATCGGACCCATCCTTATACTTTCCATACAAAAGTTCATGTTTTTGGCCATTTGTGATCATTTTTGCTATTTTTGTATAGAAAGAATACCCAAACTTAAATTTATCGCAAAATAAATGTCACATTCGGTTTTCTCATACCCAAAAACCCCCCAATACAAATTTTCACATCATTTAAAAAAAAATTCAAAGGCGTTTAAGAGGGCCAAAATAATACGGACGGGTCCGATGCGCGATTTCTACAT